AAATACTTCAGATACATCTGGTTTCGAGATAGATAATCTTTCATAATTACTCGCCGTAAAGTGTAATATTGATGAAGCAATAGCAACAGTATGGAGTTAATAAAATTACCAATATGACATACACCGGCCTTTCCTTCCTTATTAATTAATTAAGCCTCCTTCGTTATCCTCCCCAATTATATTTCTTTTATATATCCGTTTACATATTTTTTGTCTTCTGCATCAAATAAATAAATATAATAAATAAATAATAAATATAACAAATAAATAAACATCAATAAATTATTATCGGATTCATTAGGCGACGGTGAAATTCGGCTATTTGAAAAAAATAAGGAAAAAAAGCATTAAAAATCACTTCTCGATGTTTGATGTACAACTATGTCGAGCACCCCGTCTTGTTCTTGTAAGGTTTTTAGGTTTGCAGAACATCACATAGCAAACTCAATATGCTCGCGATAATCTTCCATTCATTCCACTCTCCCTATTTCATCTTGTCATCTACCAATCAACAATATAAGCTTTCTCCATTATCCAAACTTAATTAAACTAATGAAATACGAGTGGTCTCTCAGCTTGTCCGATGTATCTATTAAATCTTTATATCTAAACTTATATTGAAGCCATAAATATCTACGCTTCCCTTTTTCTACTCAGAAGCTACATCTATCATTTCCATTGAATAGAATTAACAAATCCTGGTACAATCTAAAATTATATCTACAAAAAAAAGGAAATAAATAAATAAAAGTAAAAAAATAAAACAGTTGTACAACAATTTATTTGTATAAACAGCTTTCTTCAGACTAAGAATGAAAATCAGCCCAGCAAATAAACGAAAATGAAATGATAGCTACACAGAAGTCACATTAGCTGATTTTTACGAGGGCTTTTTATACTCTTACTCCATCCTCTCCCCTTTGTCACATCCACATGGACTGTGAATGGAAATTTTGAATATTTTTACAACTCAAAAATGATACATGAAAGGGAGATTCGAAGTTCATATTAAATAGTGAATTAACAATCAGTAAAATCAAAACAACTCGGAATATCAATATGTGTTAAGCGTATTAGATATCTGATGTCAAAATAAAACAACTGAGAAGCTCCAAGCTCCAAGTAAGGCAAGTACACAGCGTTATATACTTTAGGAATGGTGAAGGCCTTTCTACACAGGACTTATGTACGGAAAGCGAATTTCGAGTGAAGGAAAATTAAGCAGTTAATGAGGTAGAGATCAGTAATCAAAAGAACCATATTTTCATGCGTAATTTAATGATGTTTTTAATTTTTGCCGCTTCTGGCATAGAGTGAAAAGAAGATCACGAGCGGCTACTGGAACGCAGCCGTAATTGCAACCATCAAAGCGAAACCTTAAATTATTCACAAAATTCATTTTCGAACTCCTTTTGTATAATTTCAAAATTTGTTTTCGCAAAATTGATATGAACAAGCAACGAGTAACGTTGGTAAGGCATACTACGAAAAAACATCACCGTTAATATATATCTGTATGAAGCATTAAACGAACAATGCTAGCATTTCTTTCCAATTTTTTAAAGACTTTCAAATTTATCAAATAATAACCTTTCCTCATGACCATCTTCTTTAAAAACAAAAATTTTTGGATCGTTAGAGGATATTCGTAATTCGAGCGCATTCTGTGGATTACTTAAAATGATTCGAGTTGGGATTTGTATACCCTGAAAGGAGACAGAAATTATATATTAGATATTCTTCTCAAAGAGTCGATTTCCCATATGAATGGTCTATGTAGTCTTTTGGCGTATTTAACATTGTGCTTCATAAAATCTGATTTACACCATGATAAACTTACACTTTTATTAAACTGACCGCGCAAGATGTACTCTCCATCGCTAAGCATTCGAGGTCGACGGCGAGGCTAAATATTAAATATATATGTAGATTTCAAAGTACCGAATTAAAATTTCAAAAAAAAAAAATTAATATCGATAAGCTGGAAGAACGCACCAACTGCAGATTTTCGGGTGATGAGCAATTTGTTTGTCTAGTTTTCTGAATAATTTCGACATCATTACTTGAATTCTAAAAAAGCTCCAGAAATTAAAAGTACGGATACAAAACTTGCCCATCAGTTTTTCAAAAAGTCCGAACTTCCAAAACACGAAAGAAACAGCAAAAATTAACTATTTAACTATCCAAGAAAAATTGCTATCAGCTTTAAATCTTAAAATCAGTTATGTTAGGAGACCAATATCATGTATAAAGAAATATCTTGAAAAATCATGGGTGAACATTACCACTATTTTTAATGGAATGCTGAAACAAAGTATAAATTTCTTTCTGTAAGATTTCATGTGGAATGAAAAAATTCTAAGAATAAAATAATTTAAAAAGAAATTGTATCAAAAGATAAATTTACTCGAGATGATGATGAAATATTGCGGGTGCGAAGTGGTACCCGAGACTGCCTCGGCACGTAATCTGTGGATTGGTAGTTTTTGTCTATGGAATTGGCATTCAGCGCTCGTTGAGTGGGAGCGCTGAATCTTTCCGAGATCATGTGTTTTGTTTGCTGTTCCGTCAAATTTTTTTCCTTTGGCATTTCGATCACCTCATTCATAATGAATTGACTAAAATGATTTTTTAATTAGATGAGAGTTTCATTCAAAGAGCATAAAAAAAAGACAAACAAACCTGCTGTTTGAGAAGTGAAATGGAAATGATTGCATAGTCTTAAACGGCGCACCCTCCAAGAATGTCTCCAACAAAAGTGCATCCGTATGAGCACACTCGAACATGCACCTTTCTTCTGCAATGAAAGGATAAACTTTGACTTATATGACATCATAGACTTAATTTTCTAAGCTGAAAGGCTCTTTTGGCGGGGTAACACACACGCTGCTAGATAGAGAACATTGCTAATAATGCAGGGCATACAGACTGTAAGCTTTCAGTTCAGATTTTATTATTCTTCATTATAGACCTCAAAACAAAAAAGTGCAGACGCGCTACAGTGTCGGAGGGAAACTAAGAACAGGTCAAAACTATCGTTACCAGAAATGATCACAGGTAGATTGGAAAATATGCTCTAAACAGGGGAATCTGCAATAGCAATATTGAGAATGCATTAACAATTCGATGACGTTAATAGCAACTGAGAACCTCGCGATTTTAATGGTTCAAATGTAGGAACAAAATAAATTCGCTTATTTTAGTAAAAAATCCTACCATTTGATAAAGATGCGGGAGCCTTATTATTTGTTGTAACAACAATCGAATTAGCGTTTTTTTTCAGTATAGCTAACCGCCCTGTAAAAAACGAATGCTTATATCAAAATTCTATTTTAAATTCACAATGAAAATCTTTACGAACAAAAAAAACCCATTATTTGCCAACCCTCGGATTGCACAACTTCTCAATGTGCCTCCCACGATCTTACTAATGCTCCTTTCCCTAATCACAAAACTGGATCGCCGAGTAGCAATATCCAACTCGTAACAACATTCTTTAAGTGAATCAGGGCTTAACAGTATCTTTGATAGTTCTTTTCCGAATAAATGCATAATTCTTCAAGTATTCTTTTTAACTAGGATGTTGTCAAAAGTAACCTAAAAATCGACATAAGAGCGACATTTTAATTTAATGAATTAGAAAAAAATATTGCGGACGCTATAACGGAAAAGAGTGAATCAGTCTTAATTATATCATACTTCATCACCTATTTTAGTGGTGCAGCTATGAGCACACATATATACATATAATACACATATATATATATATATATATATATATATATATATATATATATATATATATATATATATATATATATAT